TTTTACTTATAAATTTTATCTTTTATATTTTATATGCAATAAAACTTTCTGGTAAACTTTCAGTTATTAGGTCTGAGGGATAGGCTGAGATAGCAAAAATTTTCGACCACGGCAGGATTCGAACCTGCAATCTTCTGCTCCGTAGGCAGACGCGTTATCCATTGCGCCACGCGGCCACGTTTGACACCTTGACAGGTGTTCTTTACGGGGCAGCGATCTGTGGGAGCTGTAGCAGCTTGAGGATGTCCCAGAAATTAATGATTCCGATAATAGGCTACAAACCAGGACAATCCATGTAAGTCTTCTATGAAAGGTATACGAGTATAGTTGTTAGCCGCAACATTAGCCTTTGTGCACCACAGACCATCCGACCAAATAAACCTATTTATGATTTCGTACGTGCAGTATAATGATTGGCAGTGGGCCAATCAATGGCTTCAATCAAGGGTGAAAAACGGAATGGTCTTCCCAAATTGCCTATCATCAAGAGCTGGTTCCCGCACTGAAAACGTCAGGCAGTCCATTCCCTCTGAGAAATCAAAGGGAAAGTCCTTCGCTTAGAGTAAGTCTGGGTGAACGTGCATCTGTGATTATGACGCTCAAGTTACTGCATTATCACCATCCACATCAAATATTCTCAATTTAGAGGAATAGTGAAATGATGGTAACATCATTGGTTTTTCAGGAAACCGATCTACTCGCTAACTGTGACCTCGGATGGGCTTAATCTAAAACAGAATGTCAGAAAATGGTGGGGTTGCCAGGAACTGATGTTTCTTTATAGGAGTCAAAGGTACTTGAGGAGACATCTCAGGATATTAGCCAGCTGAGATCGAGCATTGCATCCGCTTAGACGATCTATTCTTAGTTAATGACCCGGTGTCCACGGCCATTCACTAACTATAGTCTATCGAACACATATAAATGTACATTTGGAAAAATACTGTGCTTGTGCACTTAACTTCGATTATGAAGCCGTGGGTCGTCCTTCAAATGGATGCAATTCAGGCCTTCCCTAGGAGGATCCCTTCTGGACTGTGTTGATAAATAGTTTAGCTTTTTAAATATACGTTTCATTAGATTAATTCGGATGGTTAGTATCACCGACTTTGTCATTGTACAGTATACGTGTAGCATGTAAAATTAAACAAAACGGAAGAAAAAAAAACAATTTGGCTATTATTTAAATAAGTTCTGATTAGACGACACCAAGGTAGCTCTGCCTGTAATTAAAGAACAATACAAGGGTTTTCGACCACGGCAGGATTCGAACCTGCAATCTTCTGCTCCGTAGGCAGACGCGTTATCCATTGCGCCACGCGGCCATGGTCGAGCACGTGACAGATCATTATTAGTTCTCTCAGGCGTTAATATAGTGATGGATCAGAGCCATACTCTTCAATTCTGAAGAATCGGAAGATTCCAGCAGATTCACCGAAATCAGCATAATTGTTGGCGGGACCCTGTTACTCTAGTTCTATGATCACGCTGAAATTGCTCCTTTTCACACCCAAAGACCCATGAACAAAATTCAACCCCGCGGGAAGGGCTCGCTTTCAGGGCTCGTCTTTGAGGTAGGATAGAGACAACGAAAAGGCATGATAATCCAAAAAAACGAAATAACCTAAGTAAAAGCACACGAAACACTAATAATGACGTAATCGAAGATCGGAAAGACATTCAATGCTCCACAGCCTTGTGCCAGAGCACTTCTTCAAGGGTTCTCAGTACTGTGTATTACCGTAGTCAGCAGATATGGAAGGGTAGACTGACATCTCTGCAACAATCAATGAACCTTAGAAAGGATTTCCTCAACAGGTCCTGTTAAATCCTGGGATTGAAACGAATTCGGCAGCGAAAGCATCGTGTCAGGAATGACTTTAAACAAAGCCAAACGGCTTTTTTTACTGTGTCCCTTTCTATACAGCCTTTGATTTCTCCGATTTCCTGTACATATCGAAATTTCTATGATTAGAGTGAGAGTAGGGGGAAATGCTGCCGTTAGTATAAACACGACACAGGATTGAATATCATAATCAATGCTGCTCAGGCCTTTTATCTTTGCGGAGCCTATAGACTGGTACCAGATCTAATTGCAGGCTAGCTTAGGCTGATTGAATACTTTACTAGCCTGACTGATTTTAGGACCATCTTAGGTTTACTATGAGCTGGAGCTTCACGACTTTGTATGGACCGGATGAACTTCTCAGTTCCTACGTGATTTTAGAAGGCAGTCGAGTGCATGGCGCTTCCGAAAAAGAGGAAGAACAAAACTTGTAGGAATTTAGTCCTCTGCAAGCGCTTTTTATTCAATTCTTACCGTTCTTCCTGTCTGATCCCTCAGCTCTGTCTTTATCATTTCAATTAGAGATCTACATAGTTCAATAATTTCTTGACTGCCACTCTTTTTTTTCACTGTATTGATTGATTTTGATTGTTTGATCTATCTTCAGTTTTTTTCCACAGAAAACATAAATTTCCGAAAATTCGAACCCTGTTACCTTTCCCATGCATTTTTATTTCCGAATCCCTTTCTACAGTATCCGTATTTTAGTTATTTTCACTTTCTACAGTATCCGTATTTCAGCTATTTCCGTATGAATTACGTATGACGCCTACAATATCACTATTATGCGATACGCATCAATCCTGCTACTCCACATAGGACATCTTTGTCATAATGCGTTCGCTGACAAAGGTAACTATTACTTTTATTGACGTGAAATTACATTTTTACTTAATTTTCCTTGTGTTTTTTTATTGACGCCTTAAATGGCTCATCACTGCCTCACCCTTAAGGAAATTACCAGTACCTTTCTTTTCTCTACCACACTACTGATATCTTGTGAAGCAATAGTAAAAAGTCGTGGACGATTTGGATGTTGAACTCAATCAACTAAATGAGGGACTCAACTTATATGTACTCGATGTCCTAATGACTAATGGAGTAGTTTNCTGGCAAGTTCTGAATGACCAAGTCGCTAGAGAACCATCTGTCTGGGTGAGTAACGACATGGAGGTAAGCCGGATTGCACAGGAGTGGGGCCAAAAAGCTCAAAAGCTAAATTGAAGGTGTATGGATGTAAAATACAAGATTCACAGGTCGTAGTAGTCGATTAGCGCCAACGTTAAGATTGGTGACCACGAACGGTACTCGAGACGACTCTTTTCTCAGCTTTATCATTTATCTCTGTCTCCCACAGAGATTATCAACAACTACGGAGAATCGCCCAGATTCTGTCAATGTAATCGCGATTATATGCTTGGTTCAGGTTGTTGCAGTCTGTTTAGAGCCGGTTTTTCACGCACTCTGTTATCCAGAACATCTGATGATCGCTTTTCAGTGGGCGCGTGGAAAACCAGTAAGCACAGCAGACGATTGACTAGGAGAAACGCTGGGAAATAGACACCCGTGAGGTTCTATAAAATCTACACCGCGAGAAATAAATTACTGAAGTCTGCGGAGCCCTTTCAAAGAGAGAATTCCAGCTCTTTTGGGGAAAAGGCTTCCGAAGGAGCTGGAGGCGACTTTTTTGCAGATTATTCGATTCGTAATGGATAGACGGCTGAAACAACACCACTCATAACCGCGTTCTTCAACGCCCTATGGGCCTAAGTGCCTCAGCCTTCAAAGGAGCAGTTACAGTCCGAGATGAGCTCGCCGCCTGCCGAACAGGCTGTTGATCCTCTCCGACAGATCCGACCACCTGCTCGTAGTTTAGTGGAGAATCTTCCATGACTTGAGGCTCACCAACTAGGGTTCCGCCGCAGCCGAAGAGGAATCCGTTCGCCTCGCGTAGTCGATCAGGGCCACTGAGACTCCCACTGTCTCCTTATTTATGGGATTGTAATGAAGTTTACGCCCTGATGCTGTCAACAACACCAATAATCAATCCAGGAAAAAATATTCGTTGGTACTACTTAGTTCGCTTGCTTCTGCGACGGATTCGCAGGTCTGCTTTCAGTATTCCCTTCATACCTAACAGTCCCGTCATTGTTGACAGCTCACAAAGAAGCCAGCCGATAGTTGGATCTGCTTAGCATCAAAATTGACCCTACCCAGTTAACGGTTGCTGATTGACCGTGAGTTTCTACCTAGTTGATAAGTCTTCGGGCCCATAATACAAAGAGAGACTATTCACCCAAGTTTCCCAGTACTGCTGGCATTTAGCTAGCAAGCGATGTTGGGAATGTTGTTGTCAGCGTGTTGTTAGTTTTGTTTATTACACACCTACTAGCTAGCAAAATGGGAAATATGAAGTTCTAATTCGGTGAAAATGTAGTTGGGGGNGGGGGTGCCAGCGTCCTGTTGTGCTCTACGTCCCTGACACCGGCGGCAGAGTGCATCGGATCGCAGAGATGAATTCCTTCCCTTCTAAAACTTAGGGAAGGAGCTTCGGGGTGGGAGAGATGATTATCTCATGCAAAAAGCTGGGATGGGGTAAGAATTGAACATCCAATTGTTTCACCTGCCCCGGAGCTCCTTTTCTAACTTTTAGGAGGGGAGGAGCTCCGGGATGGGTGAGATTGCTAGATGATGTAAGAATTGAAGAAACACAGAGCACAAAAGTGCCTGGCACCCCCCAACTACATTTTCACCTCTAATTCTTCTCCCACACGTACTCGTTCGAAATCGTACTTCGGATGTACCTCCGAAAAGATAAAATCCTGTTGGAACGGGAAATTTTCCACTCTGACTGTTTTTTCTGTAATTTCATCGTCACGAATTCAGATCCGTCCGAACCCATCAACACACCCCGGCATGGTGTTGATTTCATTGGTCCGCTATGGTTACCACGTACCTACAAGGTTACCTGCTGCCGTGGTGGGGCACCGGTCGCCGAGAACCCTGAGGTGGGTGTTTTGCAGATCACTTCCAGGTAATCCTATCGATGAAGCCGGCTCCGTTCAGATGATCTCTAACTGGACGCAAAAAGCGTCCGATTATGCTGTCGATGAACGTGCCGGTGATGGGGCCGACGACCACTGCCGAGTTTTTCAGGTGAGTTCGACAGGGATTCTTTCTAAACGATTATTAATATAGGCTGATGTACAGTTCAATCTTTTTACCCTCACAGACGAGTCTATTACCAATCAACCGACCCAAAGGGATGGAAAGTTTGATTGGTTTTAGCGAATTTGAATCCGGAATTCTAACTTCGGATCATGTGGGTGGTATGTAGGTTGACACTTCAATAGCTCTGCCCGAAGATTTGATCTAGGTTGGAAAGTAGTAGAGGACC